GGCCTGATTTGATATCACAACAGTGTGTGTGTGTGTAAAGCCACAACTGTGGGCTATATTTTACAGTTTTTATCAGTGCAAACAATAGGTTTCACACCGAATGCAAACACTTAGCAGTGATAAGGACTGATGATCCGCAGAAGAGCCGTATGAAAGGGCAAGGATTATGATTCCAGTTTGAACCAAGTGTAAAAACAATATGCAAGACCCGGATGTCTGTAATTGAAGGGGAAAGTGGTCTGCGATGAGGTCTTGTGTTTGCATTCCAACATTTTTGCATCACGTAATGCACTCGTACAATGAGATACCTGTGGGAAACATGGAGCAGAACCATCAGAGAGAGAGTAAACAGTGATGGCGTGTGTTTGCGTAAGACCACAGGGAAGTACGCACACACATCTGCACCTGTTCTGTTGGTATTGCTCAAGTCAAATAGTAGGCAGAGGGAATTGTGGGAAAGGGAGCGATAACAGGGCATAGTCTCCATAAAAGTTTGGCTTTATTTCAGGCCAAACCACGAGACAAAGATTTTCTGCTCGCTTTTGCCGGCTTGCAGGAATTCCTGCATGTGCTCTGGCTGTCAGTCTGAATGACTGTCCTCCCACTGGACTTTTGTGAACTGTCTCATGGAAACCATTTATTTTATAGTCTGTCTGACTCGGTTTGTCTCTCTCTTTTTCTCTTCTTATTGGTTCACTTTAATCAGTGATCATATCCAAATGCTGCCATTAAATTGCATAGAATTTTTACATTTTCTGATGTCCTGGATTGAATTTGTGTCTGTTTGGTCTGTTTTACTGTACTGTTGGATGTCTGTGTACACAACAATCATGATCCTTACTTCCCTGATGTCATCTGAGATAAGGTGTGTATACTGTATGTAAGTTATGTTTATCTGTGTGTTTACGTTGACAGGAAAAGGTTTACGAGAGAGAGATTTATGAGTGAGATATCAGTGTCTGACACGTCTGTCTGCTCTTTTGATACCCGTTTTAAATGCTAAAATATCTACTGTAATATAATACAGTATTTGTGGTTTTACATGTTTCTTGACAAAATATAAAAAGGCATGGTATATCTACCTATAGACGCAAACTAGGCCATGCTAACCTTGACCTCGTGTTCTAGTCAGGAATTGTGTTATAAAGTGTTTCCAGTCCTCTGGATGGCAGGTTGTGGGAAATAGTTATTCAGTTTTGTTTATTTACTTGTGCTGGATGCTTTTAGAGGCCAGTTATGAAATTTGATTATTTGTTGTAGCAGGTTTTTAAATTATAATTTATATTCAAAACACTATTAGCGGATTCATACTACTGTATCATTACATAATTTCGTTTTGTTTGTAAAAACAAAGTCACATTTTAGGTAATGTGCTTACAATAGAAGTATATGGGGCAAGACACCGCAATAGAATATCTGAATAATTTTCATAATTCTAGCCATAAGAGTTAAACATTAAGCATGTTAACAGGACCCTAGTGTGATTAAAATTGCTTATTCATTTTAAATACACTTATTGGGCAAGACATTAAACCAGAGTTTGTGTTAAAATACACATTTTTCGAAACTATGCCTATAAGACGTCAAACATGTTGACATGAGACTAGAGTGATCGCTTACTAACTGAGCAGAATTACATCCAGAATTTATTACTTCTGTTAGGATCATGTAAACACAGTAAGAATGTGGACCAGAGAAACAAGCGCGCAGCCATCTTTAGATTTTTGACTTTGAACTTCTGTTTTTGTGGTAGCTCTGTATATTTCTATAGCATCACTGTTGAAGAGTAATTAGCTGGTGAAGTGGATTTACGTATTGTAGAGTTAATGAAATTTATCATGAGCATTTTAATGTTCAGAGCGGATGTCATAACAAATGTCAGTAGACCGGGAAGATTTTTAAAAGAGCAGTTCATTCAAAAATACGTAAGGTCTTAACTTCATGCTGTGGAAATACAATCCGGAAGACAAAAGACAACGAGCGCAGCGCTGAAAAGGGGCGGAGCTACATAAGGTACGCAAGGTTGCTAAAAGAATTGAGAATGTGAAGCTAAGTCACGCCGTACTAATGCTGAAATTAATACAGATACCTGCTTATCTTTTGTTTTTGCCTTTAAGTTAAATATTTACATTCTTCATTGTATCGTTTGCAGAAAAGATAAGCTATGTTATCGCTTCGCGTGATCATTCGATTTTTCACTAAAGTTTTGTAGAATTTCGTTTACAATGTTGATCTGATTAGCGTGAAAACAGTGTCGCCCGCTGGACGCTTTCTGCTGCTTCAGCCGTCATATGGTAAAATATCCAAATAAAAGTGTGTTCAACAAGCTGAAAGAAGTCGATCCATTTCTTTGTTGGAAACGTTTCAATGACGAAGTATAATTGTAGTCATTGTAAATATTCATTTTTCTATGGCCACGGAGGAGAATCAGAGATTGTGGGTCACATTAACCGAACAACCGGATATTTATGTCAACAAATTACATCGATTCAAATCCCTGGGAGCTTGTGAACAGCTATGGCATTATAAAATGCTGGCTTAATATGAAGACAGTGATGCTAAAAGATGCGTTTAATTACACGATTAAATTACAAGCCTTTTCCTCCCTTGAGAAATCCATAGAAAACACTTATGCATTAAGACTAAGTTATTTAAAGTTCATATAGTATGCTTTATTAGTAAGGCGTGTACAGAAGTGTGTACCTTTAATATCATTGTCTCAGTGCATTAAGCATTTTCTTTACGTTATATGAGAGGAAAACGCTTAACGTGTAAATAAATGTGTTGCATTCACATTTTGGGCTCATATGCGCACATGCTTTACAGTTTGGTCTTTATCACTGTCTTAGTACATTAAGCCACATGAAGCGTTATTCCAGTAAAGCATTTTAGAAAGTCCCTGTTCAAGTTCTGCTAATTCACAAGCCGAGTGAGAGTCATACTCGCAAAGGTAATGTTAATTATTAAACCAAACAAAATCAAAACTTTCAGAAACACACAGCAATGTGATTCTTTTTTTGAGTGAGAAGGCAGTGGGTTTAATCTGTGATATTATTATTAGATTTATCATCCTGCGTCTTCTCGTCATCTCCGCGACCTGCTTCCCTTGGTGTTTTTACAAGTAGAAAAGGCGGGGAAAAAAAACATTGCATTGTCCAGTTTTCTCTCAGAACGATAATCTGAGTTACTTTTGCAATTCTCGATGCAACATGAATGCCATATAATGGTGATTTTTTTTTTTCATAATAACGACAGAAAATCAAAATACTGCCCCTATACTCAATAGCAAAGTCCCTTTAAGGCAAGTCATGTCACTCGGCGGCCATCTTTGAAATGCCTCTCAGGCATGCAATTGCAGCTCCTATCTCTTTGAATGGGGAAACATCAAATTCTCCAAAACTGTTCACTAAGCTTACTATTACATTTTATATTTGAAATCACCAATGAAATCTGACAACTACTGTGTCATAAATGTTGTTTCTTTTGCTCAAATAGCATTATAAAAAGCTTATTTTTTCAGGCTAGATCAGCCAGTGCGCATGTGCAGTCCTGAGAGCACGTCTCAGAGCGCTGACTGTTTCTATAGCAACCGGGACTTCTAACAGCAGCTGCAGTGACGCGCTGACTTTACCGATTAGCGATTGGCTCTTTCATTCAGAAGGCGGGGCTTCCTGCGATTGAGCGGCCATATTGAACGTTGCATTTTTCCCCATTCAAAACTATACGAGTGACACGTCTTGGGTATTCTATAGTCTGTCAACAGCGGATGGGCAGCGCGATCCTTCCAGTATGGCGGATAAACAAAGCCGTTTCCCAGAACTCATTGCGGCGTGACATCAACTTCACTTTCTCTATAATTGAAAACTTAAAGGGGTCATATGATGCAATTTCAAATTTTCCTTTCTCTTTGGAGTGTTACAAGCTGTTCGTGAATAGATAAGATCCCTAAAGTTGCAAAGACTAAAGTCTCAAACCCAAAGAGATATTAGGATATAATAGGATGCTACATGCACTTTTACAAGTTGTTTGAACTGAAATGTGTGTTGGCAGTGTGTGTACACAACCACCCTATAATGATAAAAATCC